AAAAAAAAAAGAGAAAAAGTAAAGTGTTAAGCGATTTCAGATTAGCATGCAGAGATGCATGTAAATGAACAAAATAAATTTAGATGGTGAAAGCCAAAAAGGCTTAAAAAAATTGTAAAGATGCAGCACTCAGTGAATGTCTGAATACAAAAAAAAAAAAAAAAAAAAAAAAAAGCACATACATAAAACCCGTTGAATTTCCCTTAAAATATGTATATAATTGACAAAAGTGGAATCACCAAAATATTCCATAACTCAAATAAATATACAATTGTGAAAAAAAAATCAGTACATAAAATGCTTTTTATATAAAGTCGCACAGCACCAAAATAGCAAACAAATATATTAATATAAGTGAAAGAGCTTCACAATAGAAACCAAGTCCATCCACAGGTGAAGAAGTGCTGATTGGAAATCACATGTGATCACTCCTGTACTCGAACAACAAACACAGACTCTTACCAGAGACATCAGATTTACCATAAAGGTCATAAATGCATGAGGACCATCCAGGATAACTGTCAGATGAACCCCCTCAGGCAGGCATCACAACTTCTCAGAACATCATAATTGGACCATGGAGAGAGGAAAGACTCATAGTACAAAGCTGTCATACAGTTTGATTGTAAAAGGCACCAATGGGAAGAAGCAACGGGAGTTAAAAAACAAAACACAGCATGTATCAGCCAATAGGCTGTCCGCCAACAAACATACTGATGTCATCCAGGCTGTCCCAACATGTTTCATCACTAGAGGATGTCTTCTGGGACCAGTGCATGGTGGCTGACACATTTGGATGCATTATAAAGGCAACATGAGAATACTGAGCAGATGGCATCACTTCCACAGGAAATTAACTTCAGGCCAAATTAAGTTAAAATCAACTGCTCAAAATCATATTATAACTGAATAAAAAGGTATTAATCTGGAATGGATTAGAGGATAAATATACAAATAACCAAAATTGCCTTTATTATTATTACACAAGTTGAATAGTTACAATTGTAATTCAATGCAAACATATGTCACATCACCATCTAGTGGTGGAAAAAAAAAATAAACCTTAGAATGAATTGCCGCCCATTAAAATTAAAAGTTATAGTAAAAATAAAATGGGATGGACTACACCAGTGGTGGGCAACCTTTTTTTTCAACTGAGCCAAATCTCGCCAAAACCACGATTGAAATTTATTTTGAGAGCCACATTTTTAAAACTGAAAATACATAGGATGGTACACTGTTTTTAGTTTCAATAAGTTTTTATAGTAATTCATCCCCCATAGTAATTCATCCCCCATATAGTAATTCATCCCCCATATAGTAATTCATCCCCCATATAGTAATTCATCCCCCATATAGTAATTCATCCCCCATATAGTAATTCATCCCCCATATAGTAATTCATCCCCCATAGTAATTCATCCCCATATAGTAATTCATCCCCCATAGTAATTCATCCCCCATATAGTAATTCATCCCCCATATAGTAATTCATCCCCCATAGTAATTCATCCCCTATAGTAATTCATCCCCCCTATAGTAATTCATCCCCCCTATAGTAATTCATCCCCCCATATAGTAATTCATCCCCCCTATAGTAATTCATCCCCCCATATAGTAATTCATCCCCCCTATAGTAATTCATCCCCCCTATAGTAGTAAGCCAAGTCCCCCCTGTGTCAATTCACTTACCTTTGCTCCGCGCGTTCCTCTCGCTGTGTTCCCGCGCCGTCCCGGTCTTCAGGGCGGACTGTGAGAGGAGCCTAGCTCCCCTCACGTTCGTCACGCTGCCCCGCCTACACACATCCTGACAGCCAATCACTAGCTATCAGGATGTGAGTGGCAGCAAGACTGGCCAATCATTGCATTTGACGCGCGCTGCCCTGGCTGTTTTTTTTTTTTTGGATCACGCTGCAGAGTCCCTGCCGCCCGAGAGGAGGGAGGGGAGCGGGGCGCCCGGCACACAAGAGCCGCATTAAAGCGTGTAAAGAGCCGCATGTGGCTCGCGAGCCGCGGCTTGCCGACCACTGGACTACACCAATCTGCTCAATCCTGTACAGATGGTAACAGAGGTAGAAATGAATAAAAACAAATATCGCAGACATATTCTATAACCACAAAAACCACAGACCTGAAATATTAACTACTGATAAAAACAATTGTCGTCCCATCCAACATTTAATCCATAAGGGGAGTACATATTCATGCTATAAATTCACCTTGTTTCCAGATGGGATATTTTACATCTGTAATTCTAAAGGAGGGACCAGTTTGTCTATACCTAGATCTCTTATGCCAGCGGCATCTTTATTATGGCACACAGAATAATGTCTTGAAACACTAGACCTTTGAGAATATTGGCAATATGTTCATCAACTCACACCTACAGGGCCTGAGTGGTCCTATCAATATACTGTAGATAAATTGGTATATTGTGATGTGAAAAATCTGGCCCGTACCACATTCTGACCACCACATTTACAGACAAGATTTTTTTTATATGGAAAATGCCACAGTCCCCTATAAAGTTTTTTTAAGAAGGCTCAATGGACACTCAATACCAGATGTGAAATACCCCATCTGGAAACAAGATGGATCTACAACATGAAGACATATTCCCCTATAAATTAAATGTGGGCTGGGACTGCAATTATTTTATTAGTAATAGTTAATATTCCAGGTCTGTGGTTTTTGTGTTTATAGAATATACCTGAAGTATTTGTTTTTGGTTTTATTTATTTCAATATATTTAAACACTCAGAGCCTGAGTGGATGACATCATCATGTTCGCTTTGGCTGATACTTACTGTATTTTGTTTTTTCCTTCCCATTGGTGCGTTTTATAATCATACTGTATGACAGCTTTGTACTATGAGTCTTTTTCCTCTCTCCGTGGTCCATTTATGATGTTTTCAGGAGTTTTGATGTCTGCCTGAGGAGGTTCATCTGACAATTATCCTGGATGGTCCTCATGTGTTTATGACTTTATGGTAGAGCTCTGGTGTCTCTGGTAAGAGGCTGTGTTTGATGTTAGAGCACAGGAGTGATCCCGTGATTGCCAATCAGCACTTCTTTACCTGTAGATGGACTTGGTTTCTATTGTGGAGCTCTTTCACTTATATTTGTTTGCCATTTTGGTACTGTGCGACTTTGTAATGAATGCATTGTATTTACTGATTTTTTTTTCACCAGTATACAGTTAGGTCCATATATATTTGGGCACAGGGACAATTTAAATTTTTTTCCAAAACATATTCAAGCTATAGTTATATAATGGATATGGGCTGAATGTGCACACGCAGGTTTAATTTGAGAGTATGTACATCCAAACTGGATATTAATTACAGCTCTTAAGAGTAGACATCCCCCATTTTTGAAGGGACCAAAAGTAATTGGACAATTGAATATAATCATAAATAAAATGTTCATTTTTAATATTTTGTTGAGAATCCTTTACTGGCAATAACTGCCTGAAGTCTGGAACCCATGGACATTACCAAAGACTGGGTTTCCTCCTTTCTGATGCTTTGCCAGGCTCTAACTGCAGTTGTCTTCAGTTGTTCTTTGTTTGTGGGTCTTTCTGTCTTTAGTTTTGCCTTCAGCAAGTGAAATGCATGCTCAATTGGGTTGAGATCAGGTGACTGACTCGGCCATTGCAGAATATTGCACTTCTTTTCCTTCAAAAGCTCCTGGGTTGCTTTTGCAATGTGTTTTGGATCATTGTCCATCTGTACTGTGAAGCATCGTCCAATCAACTTTGCTGCATTTGGCTGAATCTGGGCTGACAGTATATCTCTAAACACTGCAGAATTCATCCGGCTGCTTCTGTCACATCATCAATAAACACCAATGACCCAGTGCCACTGGAAGCCATGTACTTGCATGGACAGCCCCTATGAACGCATGGACAGCCCCTATGAACGCATGGTAGGTTCACAGCAATGGATTCCTAATGCAAATACCACACTTAGAATCAACTCCAGACCTTTTACTTGCTTAATTGAGCGAGAAATAATGGAGCAGCCCACATCTGGCCATGAAACAGTCTTTGATTAAATTGTCCAATTACTTTTGGTCCCCTGAAAAAGGGGGGATTGCTACTCTTTAAGAGCTGTAATTCCTAAACCCTTCCTCCAATTTGGATGTACATACCTTCAAATTAAACCTGAGAGTGTGCACTTTCAGCCCAAATCCATTATATAACTATAGCCTGAATACGTTTTGGTAACTACCTGAAAAAAAAACTAAAATTGTGCCTGTGTCCAAATATATATGGACATAACTGTAGATTTAATGAGACATTGGTTATTGAGTTATGGCAAATTTTGGTTATCAACAGGTTTTATGTATGTACACTTTTTTTGTTTTTATATTCAGACAATCATTGGGTGCTGCATCAATTCGATTTAAGTCTTTTTGGCTATCATCACCTAGCCAGACTTATTTTGTTCATTTATATGCATGTCAATCTCAAATTGCCTATCACTTTTCTTTTTGTTTTTTTTTTTTTCTTTTATTTAACCTTTTTTATCTTCCACTTCCTGGTTTTCCTTAAGGCAGTGGTGACATGTAGCTTCAGACACACAGATAGGCAGTGGTGACACATAGATGGATCAAAATGTGGCAGATCCCTGCTGAACTGACCAAATTTTGATCCGGCTTTAGTTGAGATTAAAATTACTGGTTAAAGAAATCTAGACCAAACTGGTTTCTCTTTGTTGTAAGGGGTGGGAATGGGGACAAAATAGCAAAAAAAATCCCAGTATGGGCAAAGTGCAAGTTTGTACTGGTTGCTGTATTTAACCACTAGCCTACAGGGCACTTATACCCCCTTCCTGCCCAGGCCAATTTCCAGCTTTCAGCGCTGTCACACTTTGAATGACAATTGCGCGGTCATGCAACACTGTACCCATATGAAATTTTTTATCATCATTTTTTGTGACACATAGAGCTTTATTTTGGTGGTATTTAATCACCTCTGGGTTTTTTTTATTTTTTCTTAAACAAACCAAAACCACAAAAAAAATTTTGAAAAAAAAAATGTTCTTAGTTTTTGTTATAAAATGTTGTAAGTAAGTGATTTTTCTCCTTCACTGATGTGCGCTAATGAGGCTGCACTGATGGGCACTGATGAGGAGGCACTGATGGGCATTGACAGGCATCACTGATGGGCACTGAAAGGCAGCACTGATATATGGCACTGACTGGCACTGTTAGGCGGCACTGATAGGCAGCACTGACAGGCACTAATGCACACTGATAGGTGGCACTGACTGGCACTGATAGGTGGCACTGAAAGGCAGCTCAGATGGGCACTGATATGTGGCATTGATGTGCACTTGTAGGCACTGATATGTGGCATTGAAGTGGCACTGATGGGCACTGGCAGGTGACAGATGAGCACTGAGAGCTGGCACTGATGGGCACTGACAGGTGGCACTGCTGGGGCTACACTGATCATCAGTGCCCTGATGATTGGTTCAAATATCCCCTCCAAGGAATGCCAATTACCGACTCTCCTCTCCTCACGAGCTGTCGCGTGACAGCTCGTGAGGAGAGAAATGCCGATAACCGGCATTTCCCTGTTAAATGCGATCAGCTGTGATTGGACACAGCTGATCACATGACCGAGTCGACATCTTCAGCTCTTTCTGTGGATCAGTGATCCGCTGTGTCCAAGGGACACAGCGCACCGCTGATTGCCGCACGCTCCCGGAGCCGTGCATGCGCGGTGAGAATGGGAGGACGTCATATGACATCCTCCCAGAACGAGAGAACCGCCTTGCATCCGTCATTGGACTATATGGCGGGCGGGAGGCAGTTAACATTTATACCACTATGAATTTTTTTAAGCATTCAGTACAGGTGCATCTCAGTAAATTGGAATATCAAAAAGTTAATTTATTTCAGTAATCCAATTTGGAAACTGAAACTCATATTATATAGATTCATTACACACAGAGTGATATATTTCAAGCATTTCCTACTTTTAATGTTGGCGATTATGGCTTACAGCTAGTGCAAACCCAAAATTCAGTAACTCAGAAAATTGGAATATTATATAAGACCAATAAAAAAAGGATTTTTAATACAGAAATGTTGGCTTACTGAAAAGTATGTCCATGTACAGCAGAGTATGCAAGCAATAGTTGGTTGGGGCTCCTTTTACAATTTTTTTTTTAAAAATACACTTTTTTACTTTTAACACAATATATTGCCAATTTGTTTGTAAAATATAAAAGATGATGGTATGCTGAGTTGTTTTTTATTTATTTTTAGTTATTTTGATTTTTTAAATTATTTTTACACTGTCCGTTTAATTTTTTTTTTTGATCACATTTAATGCTATGACAGGGAATGCAAATATCCCCTATAACTTCAATGGGCATTGTCATATATTCTTTTTTAAGAAATCTGGGTTCTATCAGACTCTAGATATCTCTTCTGCCCTTAGATTATCTAATCAAACCAAGATCGGTGTGATCAGATGCTTTCCCAATTTACAAATGGCGCTGTTTATATCCTGCGAAACTGAAGTGATGAAATGCTCGTAGCTTCTGATTTCTTAGACTATAGAGATGATTGGCACCATTACGGTCTCCAATCAGCTCTATGGTCAGCTGGCAGAAACACCGGCTGCATCTCAGGTTCCCACGATGGTACGGGACAGCCCGAGAAGGCCGTGGAAAGCAGTGGGGGCATTGTCTCCCACTACTTGTAAAAGCAATCCTGCAGCTAATTAGCCACTAGGATTGCATTTACATGAAAGCCGATTGCCGGCTGAAAAAAAAAAATGATACCAAGATGATGCCTGCAGATGTAGGCATCATCCTGGTATAACCATTCAAAATCCAGTGATGTACTAGTACGTCGCTGGTCCTTTTTGGGTATATATGCTATGTTCTTTTTTTTTATTTTTTTGTATGCAGCTGGTGGGCTGAAAGAAAAAAAAAGAAGAAGAAATCTCTGCCAGAAAAAGTGTATGGTATTCCCACCATTAGTATATACCACCCTGCATCCACCCACTTCTAACGGTGGGCACACATTAGGTCACACGGTGCCACATGCGCCAATTCCAAGATTGTACAAATGTCTAAATAGTGGCACGCTTGAATAAAAATTGTCCATATATAAGTGGTACCCCCATATGGAAAAAGGATGACACCAAGTCCCAAACTATCTCTTGCCACTACTTTCCATGTAGTCTGGGCATCTGAGGGGCTGCATGTGACATATAAGTTTTGGATTTACGAGGGAAAAGATAGTCAATCTTTTCCCTCGTATATCCAAAAACTTATAAGTATAGGCTGTTGCCTCTCACAGGTCTTATACATCTTGACCCCATATGTGGCACGCTTTCTAGGGAGAAATTGTTTGAATGGGAAGGTGGTCATAAAAATTAATGAGGTACTCATCAACGCTGATTTTTTGATGGGGAGTATAGGCACCTGTAAATTTTTGGTTAAGGTGATTTAGCAGGGGCCAAATTTTGTGGAGCTGGTCAAATTCAGGGTCACCCCGAGGATGAGTGTATTGTCGTTGAAATGCATAAAACACATTATACTCTCATATCTATGCCTGGCCATGGAAGCAGAGAATACGGGCATATGATGAATGGGGTCTGCGGACCAATACAACCGCAATTCATTTTTTTCAGTAATGCCCATGTTGAGGGGTAGGCCCCCAAAAAAAATAAATTTGGAAACCATAATGGTTTCCATGCGAATGGTCTGGTAAGGTTTGAATTTGGGTTGGCGACGACAAATTGTTGTGCATATAAATTACTTTGATCCACAATCAATGCATACAGATATTCCATGAAAAACAACTCCAAAAAATCAAGGGGAGTAGTTAAATTTGCTGTTTCCACCAGAATTTCGGATTGGGCAGTGAATGGGGGAAGTACAGGTGCTGATTCTGCGAACACTGCAGTTTTGTGTGCAATGTATCAAGTGACAGTGACCTACTGACACTGCACTTGCTGAGGCAGAAGGGGGGTAAGCGTAGGGGCTAAACGCAGGAGCTGGCAGGTGCAGGGGCTGATCCCACTAATGCTGCATTTTTGGGGACACTATACTAATATGAACGCTGGTATAGTGCTGATCTGATTAAAGATATTGATCCGTTCAGACACTATATTAGCAATGGAGGTTTATTGGGCTTGAGTGTGTTCCTGGCAATCAAGGGGTTAAATGTGATTACTGGTGTATGGACGGGCAATCTGACGGTATCTGGGAAGGGCGTGAAAACCATGGGAGTGCGAATCAAGTATATATGTGATTTTGCGCACCCGTGCCACCCCGTAGCAGTATTTCAGCAGCAGCAGTCAGGAAGAGATTACAGAAGCGGTTTGTGTTATGGCACTGCATTATTTTTAACTGACAATTGTGCGGTCATGCAACGCTGCACCCAAATGAAATTTACATCCTTTTTTCCCCACGAATTGAGCTTTCTTTCAGTGGTATTTGATTGCCTGTGCGGTTTTTATTTTTTGTACTATAAAAAAAGTCCGACAATTTTGAGAAAAAAATATTTTGGACTTTTTGCTATAAAAACATGTCCAGTAAATAAAAATGAAAAATCAAATTTCGTCATAAATTTAGGCAAAAATGTATTCTGCTACGTCTTTGTTAAAAAAGAAAAACCCAATACGTGTAAATTAATTGGTATACGTGAACGTTATAGCATCTACAAATGACAGTATAGAAATTGGAATTTTTTTTTTCCATACTAATAATGGCGGTAATCAGCGATTTATGGCGGCGATCAGAGACTTATAGCAGGACTGGGGCCGTCATTCTGACACTGGGGGGGAACTGACTTGGTGTCACTGACATCCCCAGTGATCAGTTCTGAAATAAAAAAAAAAAGCAGTGACACTGTACTAATGGCACTGGACAGGAAAGGGTTAACATTTGGGGGCGGTCAAAGGGTTAACTGTGTGATGGGAGTGTTTTACAAGGGGGCGGGCGGGGGTGCTACACTGTAAGCACACTGATCAGGATGGCTGTGCTCAGCCAGCCATCCCGATCAGTATGCCCAAACTGGCAGCTCTCCTCCCTCCGGACGGGACTCAGTGATTGACACCCGGGGGCCGCGATCAGTGGCGCGGATAGGGTGGGCTCGCTCCCTACCTGGAGTTGCAGAATCACGTATATACACACGTTCTCCTGCACACAGGGGCCACCCTGCAGCAGTAAATATATTGTGGGCGGTCACTAAGCGGTTAAATAAGAAATTTCAGGATTAAAGTCAAAGTGCCCTGATATGTGTAACCACAAACGTTTTTATTTTTAGACTTTAAGGTCATTATCTGCTCAAATACAAAATTGATTTAAACCTTCCCATTTGGCGTATATATTATCTTTGCCTTGTCTTTCAACTGCTCTCCACCTATATCAGTATGCTCCTTAACCGCTTCCCATCCACCCTATAGCAGAAGTACTGCTACAGGGTGGCACGGGTGCGCAAAATCTCGTATATATACAGCATTTTGCATTTCGGGTAGGGCGCGTGCACCCTACCCCATGCCACAGTTCCCGGGCCGCCAAACACCGGGTCCTGCCCGACGATTACTCGCCAGTGCCTGCCGAGCATCTCCGACAGGGGGTAAACAAAACAGTTCTCTCCTGTCAGCTCCTGCACACAATGCTTACAGTGAAGCACAAACACAGCACACAGTTAACCCTTTGATCGCCCCACGTTAACCCCTCCCGACCCATTGCCATTAGTGCAGTGTCAGTGCTTTTTATTAGCACTGATCACTGGGGTTTCATTGACACCAAGTCAGTTCCACCCAGTGACAGAATGCCCACTACAGTCTCGCTATAAGTCGCTGATTGCCACCATTACTAGTAGAAAAAGAAACCCAGTATATACGGTATTTTTCGCTCCATAAGACGCACTTTTTTCCCCCCAAAAAAGGGGGGAAAATGTCAGTGCGTCTTATGGAGCGAATGTAAAGTGGCTGGTCCGGTATTTCTGCCGCCACCATGTCAGAATACCGGGCCGGCCGCTCAGCTGTTCTCTGCAGGATCTTACCTGTTCTCCTGCAGGATCTTACCTGTTCTCGCTCCAGTGCTGTAGTCTTCCCGCGGCGGCTTCTGTGACAGCCGGGTGCCCACTGCGCATGCGCGAGAAGCGCCGCGCTTTGTGAATGGTCCAATGTCTTCTGGGACACATGACAGGTCCCAGAAGGCTCCTGGCCATTCACAAAGTGCAGCGCTTCTCGTGCATGCGCAGTGGGCACCCGGCTGTCACAGAATCCGCCGCGGGAAGAAGGAAGGACAACCCCGTGGAAGTGGGAGCGGGTACCTGTCAAATTCAGGTACCCGTTCCCCCTCCCTCCCCAAAGGTCTGCAGTCTCTGGTAATCTCCTTTACTGTCTGCAGTCTCTGGTCATCCCCTGCACTGTCTGCAGTCTCTGGTCTTCTGTACTATGTCTGCAGTCTCTGGTCATTCCCTGTACTTTGTCCGCAGTCTCTGGTCATCTCCTGTACTATGTCCGCAGTCTCTGGTCATCTCCTGTACTGTGTCCGCAGTCTCTCGTCATCCCCTGTACTGTGTCCGCAGTCTCTCGTCATCCCCTGTACTGTGTTCGCAGTCTCTGGTCATTTCCTGTACTGTGTCCGCAGTCTCTGGTCCTCTCCTGTACTGTGTCCGCAGTCTCTCGTCATCCCCTGTACTGTGTCCGCAGTCTCTCGTCATCCCCTGTACTGTGTTCGCAGTCTCTGGTCATTTCCTGTACTGTGTCCGCAGTCTCTGGTCATCTCCTGTACTGTGTCCGCAGTCTCTGGTCCTCTCCTGTACTGTGTCCGCAGTCTATGGTCATCCCCCTTACTGTGTCCGCAGTCTCTGGTCATCTCCTGTATTATGTCCGCAGTCTCTGGTCATCCCCTGTAATGTGTCCGCAATCTCTGGCCATCTCCTGTACTGTGTCCGCAGTCTCTGGTCATCTGTACTATGTCCGCAGTTTCTGGTCATCTCCTGTATTATTTCCGCAGTCTTTCGTCATCCCCTGTACTGTGTCCGCAGTCTCTGGTCATCTCCTGTATTATGTCCGCAGTCTCTGGTCATCCCCTGTACTGTGTCCGCAATCTCTGGCCATCTCCTGTACTATGTCCGCAGTCTCTGGTCATCTCCTGTACTATGTCTGCAGTCACTGGTCATCTCCTGTACTATGTCTGCAGTCTCTGGTCATCTCCTGTACTATGTCTGCGGTCACTGGTCATCTCCTGTACTATGTCCGCAGTCTCTGGTCATCTCCTGTATTATGTCCGCAGTCTCTGGTCATCCCCTGTACTGTGTCCGCAATCTCTGGCCATCTCCTGTACTATGTCCGCAGTCTCTGGTCATCTCCTGTACTATGTTTGCAGTCACTGGTCATCTCCTGCACTGTGTCCGCAGTCTCTGGTTATCTCCTGTACTATGTCTGCAGTCACTGGTCATCTCCTGTACTATGTCTGCAGTCTCTGGTCATCTCCTGTACTATGTCTGCGGTCACTGGTCATCTCCTGTACTATGTCCGCAGTCTCTGGTCATCTCCTGTATTATGTCCGCAGTCTCTGGTCATCCCCTGTACTGTGTCCGCAATCTCTGGCCATCTCCTGTACTATGTCCGCAGTCTCTGGTCATCTCCTGTACTATGTTTGCAGTCACTGGTCATCTCCTGCACTGTGTCCGCAGTCTCTGGTTATCTCCTGTACTATGTCTGCAGTCACTGGTCATCTCCTGTACTGTGTCCGCAGTCTCTGGTCATCCCCTGTACTGTGTCCACAGTCTCTGGTCATCCCCTGTACTGTGTCTGCAGTCCATTGGTTCAGAATATTTTTTTTCTTGTTCTTCTCCTCTAAAACCTAGGCGCGTCTTATGGTCAGGTGCGTCTTATGGAGCGAAAAATACGGTATATACCTCCATTTATAAACGCTAGACATTTCATGTAAACCAATTAATTTTCACATACTTGGATTTTTTTTTTTTTTAGCAAAGACGTAGCAGAATACATTTTGGCCTACATTTGACGAAATTTGATTTTTTCTATTTTTTTACTGGACGTTTAATAGCAAAAAGTCAATAATATTTTTTTTCTCAACATTATCGGTCTTTTTTTTTATAGTGCAAAAAATTTAAAAAGCACAGGCGATCAAATACCACCGAAATAAATCTCTATTCGTTGGGAAAAAGGCCGTAAATTTAATTTGGGTGCAGCGTTGCATTACCGCGCAATTGTCAGTTAAAGTAACGCAGCGCAGTAATGCAAAAAATGGCCTGGTCAGGAAGGGGGGGTAAATCCTCAGGAGGGCAAGTGGTTAAACTTCCGCACAACTGATTGGTTCCTTGTGTTGTACATTCATGGCCAGTGGAATGGGTCACATTTGGCTTTTTGTTTCTCCACTTTTTTTCTGTCATAGCAATACAAACAAAAGAAATAAACACGAGAATGCCTAAATATTTGTAATTTCAACCATTTTCTGGGCAAAGTGGTGCATTATCTGACTAAAATGCAGAGGTGCCAATATTTTTGGTCGTGACTGTACATACCTACCCCAATTTAAGCTCTGCTGTTCAGGGGCTGTGAGAAACTGATGCCAAGTCAAATACACTGCTTACATTAAAGCGGTAGTAAACTCACAATGCATACTCAGAGGTGTGGAAGTTTTTGAAAAAAACTACTTGTCCAGGGATAAATCGGGGCCCCAATCTACTTGTCCCTCATGACAATCTACTTCTCCAGATAAAAAATAAATACATTTTTTAACCAAAACCATATTTAAATTGCAGGTGATTTTAGGAATGTCTGGGGCTTTTAAAAACAAAAGAGGCTTTATGGCAACTTAAACGTTTAATATTTTAAACATTGCGCTGCTTGCCTCCTCCTCCCCTCCCTGCCTGTCTCCAGCACTGCACACGGGGATTGGCAGGGAGGGGAGAGACCTTGCAGTGTGATGAAAAATGATTGACTGCTCCTCCGGAAAGGGTGGGGAAGGTTTATACTTTATCCCTTTCGCTGCCAGAGCCGTTTTTGCACACATTTACAAAATCATTTTAGGCCTGAAGATTACATAAAACCCCCAAACATGATATATTTTCTGAAAGCAGAAAACCTAGAGAATAAAATAGTGGATATTCCAATTTTTTTAAGTTGCATGATTTTACCACAAAATTTTAGTAAATCCTAATAAGTTAATTTTAGGGCGCAAAAAATAAATTACCCTATTTTTTGTAAAATATAAAAGAGGGTTGCAGCGAGCAAATAGATATCCAACTTGTCAAACTTTCAATTTGTGCGCACTTGTGAAATGGTAATTCCATGCATACATACAGTATAATGTATGCATGGAATTATGTAATTGGCCATTCAAAGAGCTGGAACCTGGACGGAAGACGGGAGAAGATGGAAGCGCCAGGGATCTATGACTAGGGGCGTACTTACCACAAGACCCCCCGGAAGAAGGGGCACATGTGACACGGGGACAAGGTGGGATCTAAGAGAGGCTGCTTGATAGTGTATGCAGAGCCCGACTTGTTCCTAGGGATATCCAGAGCTGTGAAGCATGAGTTTCTCTCTCTCCCTGGTGGGTTTTATGTTCGTGCCATAGTGCCAGGCTCTTTCCACGGGGGTGAATGGGTGTTGGTTGGCGTCAGGATCTCTCCCTCAGAGGGGGGCCTCTGATTTTTTTGTTGCTTAGGGCAGCACAAAACCAAAATATACCACTGGCTGTGCACTGCGCTTGAGGACTCTGTGTGTGCGGGTAAATTTGTCATAATGTGCTAGAATGCAGTGCATATTAATACATTATGATGTAAACCTGCAGAGGGGCCCAATTTTTTTTAATTTCTGTGGCGGTTTACTACCACTTTAAGAAATGCAAACTGGGCTGGGGCTCTCATATATAGGACCAGAAGGGTCTCCTTTTTACATAAACATTGTATTTCAAAGAATGCTAAAAGAAAGATTCAACATACAGTGAAAGAATTAAGTATTTGATCCCATGCTGACTTTGAATGTTTGCCCACTCAAAAATAAATTATCAGTCTAAAAATTGAATTGTAGGTGTATTGAGAGACAGAATAGCAACAAAAAATCAAAAGAAATGCCACCCACCATTCGATTTTTTGGCCAATCATTTCTTTGTGACTGGGCAAACATTCAAAATTAGCAGGGGATCAAAAACTTACTTCCTTCACTGTAAACACATCTGCATCCTCTTCTGAACTTTCTGACATGAGAAAGAGAGACACTTTTATGACTAGGTTCACACCTGTGTGTGTCTGCATTCTCCTGTGCTTCCATTGAGGTCTATAGGGCAAAAAATGTCTCACCAAAGGAGCACCTATTCCATTTTCTAAGTCACATGAAAGTGCATTGAATAGGTGTGAGTGGGACCTATGGACAACAATGGCATTCCTAGTCACACATTGTCCTGTAATGGCCTAAATGTTGCAAATCACACAGATGTGAATGGGAACTGAAGGACCCCACAGTCATTTACATGGACCACAAATGAATAATACATAAAAATAAAATGAATGCTTGAACCCACAAGTTCTTTTTAAAATAAATGTATTTATTTTTAAGGTTGGATGGGATGTTTCGTGTTCTGTTACATATCTCGGTGTTCAATGGTGTGCACATTAGACTACAAAGAGAGACAAGTGAGAGGGAAAGGGGGGCCGAGGGATTAAAGCCGGCCAAAGACAAAATGAAATGTGTCCGGGTTCAGCAGTGTCCAGACGCATTTTGATCAGTTTGTGTCCATCTCTGTTAAACAGAATGTGACTGATTGACTTCTGTCGAATAAACAAGTTGGAAAACTTTTGTCGGTCAGTGTACTCTGTCAGTGGAAAGTCTCGCTGTCAGAATACAATGTCCTGGTGGGCTCATCATTGTGTGGATGGAGGAATCTGAAAGAAGCTTTCCGTCTATGGCCAGCTTTAGTCCCAAATAAAGGACAGAAGCTCTGCATTTATCACATAACATCCAGAAAGTTTTTATTTCTTTTATATATGGTACTGTGTGGAATATGGATAGATACACCTCATACACGGGATGACACAGAACCCACACAAGCCCCCCCATATATATACTGACACTGTACTCACCGGAATGGACTCCTATGACGGCCATAGAGATGAGTGTGATGACACAGAGCTCCATCTCCTCCTGTGTACAGACCCCCACTCCTCTCACCTCACCCACTTCTATTGACACTCTGTGCAGGAGGGGGTGGACACTCTGTACACAGAACGCTGCTGATTGGCTGGTATTACCTCCCGTCCAATAGGGAAAATCATACATGGGTGATCAGCAGTTGCTGGGCAGAGTGTAGAGGTTGGCTAGTGGAGGAATAGAATGGGACAAAGTGAAAGTAAATGCTGAGATGTCAGACAAAGCAGAGAGGGAGGAGCTCAGTGTGGGGGAGGAGCTCAGTGTGGGGGAATTCCACATCTCAGCCATCATCGCTGTGCAGGAGAGGGGGATGGTTGGCACAGGAACGTCTGCTGTGTCACCAGCAGACATTTTGTCATTCGCAGTTCAGAATAGAAAAGATGATTTCTCATTATCATTACAATCACATTCACTAAAGCTCCAGCGGAGTGTTTTCATCTAGAAGATGGAGTGGGGAAGAGTTGATTTAGGGTTTGAACTGCTCTCTGTGTCCTAATCAAGTGGGATGAAGGAAGAGAAAATCTCACATGGGGACCCAGAGAGCAAGAATGTGACAGATGATCTAACCTTTCCCCACTACATCAAATAATATATGTCTTTTTTTTCAACACAAGAAAATTATGTGGGTATAAGTATAAACAAACTTTGTTTCCCAGATCAAAATACTCCTATGTTTAACCCCTCTCCACTCAGCCCGGTCATCCTTTAGTAGGGTCTGTACAGTCAGGGGCAGGAAGGATCGGCCAGCATGTGACCACTGATTGGCTGTCACGCTGGTCATATGATGGGGGAGTTGGTCCCGCCAGCTACTGATCATTAGTC